ACTTTTTATTGTCCTTGATTTTTGTAGGTAGCTGGAGTTCCATTGAAGCCTTGGCTTTCCTGGTTTGCTCTTTGCAGGTCTGGACTGGAGCAGAGTATTCCTCCTTGGTGGTGGTTCCAGTCCTCCATCCTTTGTAGGTCTTCCTTTTAAGATGCAGGAGGAAAGGCCTTTGGAGGAAAGGCTGAGGGAACTGGGCTTATTCAGTCTGTAGAAGACTGAAGGGGGATGTGACAGCAACTTTCAACTGCCTGAAGGGGCTTCCAAAGAGGATGGAGCTGGATTGCTCTCAGTGGTTGCAAATGACAGAACAAGGAGCAGTGGTCTCCAGTTGCAGCAAGGAATGTTTAGATTAGATCAGGGGTCAGCAGTTGTTCTGGACAGAGTGCCAGAAACACCTGCAACCTTGACTTGCAAGACATTGGGGTTCCAGGGGCAGATGGTGGGGGAGTAGCCAGGGACCCAGTCTGTGATTAGTGCAGCCCTGGTGACTTCCCTGCCGTCTGCCCCGAGGTGTGCATGCCAAGCAAATTGCCTTTGCGTGCCCCGCTCTGGCACCCATGTCGGGGATTTCCTACCCCTGGGTTAGATATTAGGAAAAAACTTTCTCACTTGGAGTGTAGTGAAGCACTGGAAAGGCTACTCAAGAACTGTTGTAAGTCTTGAAGTCCCAGCTAGACAAAGCCTTGGCTGGGATGATCTATTTGGGGCTGGTCCTGCTTTGAGCAGGGGTTAGACTAGATGACCTCCTGCGGTCCCTCTCAACCTTAGAATTGTAGAAAGCTATGATAAGGGGCAGAGGATCAGTAGGGTTAGATTTGATCTGCATTCACCTTACAGTATTGAAAGTACTTGTGTTGTTTACTTGTACTTACATGTATGGACAGGACCTTGGTAGAGCTGTCAAACTAGTCTATGGTATCATTTTGTATGTGTAATTTAACTATGTTTAACTGTGTGTTCAGGATGAGCGAGCGTTTCCAAAGGGAGACTTCTTTCCTCCAGAGAGGCCCCAGCAACTTCCCCGTAAGTTCCACTCGCAATTTTAATTCTTAGCTTGCAGTAGGGCAGATGAAGCACTTGAAACATCAAACTCACTTTGAAACAGCTTTGCACAGTTGTCTTGCATAGAAAGTTTTTTTTTCCCTCTGGCATTATTATAGTCATGATGTGTGTGTATATACAGGTGTAACAGCAGATCATGCGAGGCTTATTTTTTTTAGTAAGCTGTTGCTGCATGCCTTATTAGCTGTGGAATGAGGCTGAATGTTCTCCAGGTTGTGCTTGAGATGCACTTAAGGCCAATTTTTTCTAGCTGAGTCTTTCAAAATGTAGTGGCTCTATAGCAATATATCCTTTTTAAGAAGGAAAAAGAACACATGAAATAAATGGAATAGTAATAAATGGAGCGCACAGGATTTTAAAATGCTCCTTCTATTTAAAGCCTCTTAACATTTCACCCCTGCCTTCTCCACCTTCCCC